TTTTCTGATGTCCACTGAGTCTATAAATATGGATCCGTCGACCGGTTCTATGAGTCGGAACAGCGCCAGAGTTAGCGACGACTTTCCGGCACCCGTTCTGCCGACTATTCCCACCTTCTCTTTGGGCTTTACTTCTAATGTAATCTTTTTGAGTACTAAATCCAATCCTTCTCTATATCTAGTGCTGTATTCAATGAACTTTATTTCTCCTTTTTCGGGCCAATCAGGCTTTGGCTTAGTAATCTCGTCGTACCACTCGGCCTATCAATCACCAAAAAATTATATGATATTAAAATCTAATCTAATAATTAGATGTAATATAAATCATACTTCTGTCGGAGTTTCCGTATATTCCAGACACCTCTCAACTGAAACTATATTAGTCTCGAGATCAGTGGCCGATCGGACAAACATTCCCAAAATGCCAGTTATATTCAGCGAATAACTGATGGCCAGTCCCGCCAATCCTGGACTCAACGAATGTCGGGCTAAGACAGCAAACATTGCCGCCAAAAATACTATACTATAACCCAAGAACTCGAGTCTAATGGCCAGCCATCGGGAGGCCGTAAAACTAGGATAATAACAGATATGGTTTTCATCGACCCGTCTATTGGACTCCCGTATAAACATGTCGGTCACGCCATACGCCCTAATACTGGCCGAACCGCTCACTGTTTCGCTGAAATGGTTATAAATAGGGGAACGAGTGGTTGAGTCGATTCGCTTCAATTGTCGCGAACCCGATATATAAACCCTTTGAATCAAATAATAGATGAGAGACAGCGGGAAGATCGCGGCCAATATGATGGGTGTCTCCAAACTAATCATNTGGTTATAAATAGGGGAACGAGTGGTTGAGTCGATTCGCTTCAATTGTCGCGAACCCGATATATAAACCCTTTGAATCAAATAATAGATGAGAGACAGCGGGAAGATCGCGGCCAATATGATGGGTGTCTCCAAACTAATCATCGCAAACGCCACTATAGTCCTGAAGAACTGCATTATCATCATTCGCAGGTTAAACAGCAGAGACATGTCTGCGGTGTCGATGTCTTTGGAGAANTAGATGAGAGACAGCGGGAAGATCGCGGCCAATATGATGGGTGTCTCCAAACTAATCATCGCAAACGCCACTATAGTCCTGAAGAACTGCATTATCATCATTCGCAGGTTAAACAGCAGAGACATGTCTGCGGTGTCGATGTCTTTGGAGAAACGGTTTAATATTCGGCCGATTGGTGTCGTGTCTGCGATATTGTTAATAAAAAAGTTATTCACAAATAAACGTCAAGTGATTTATAATAATAAAACACTGACCGAAGAAACTCATGGGCGCTCTGATTATACGCTTCAACATATTGTTGTGCAATACCTTCGCGGCCCGAATGCAGGCCAGGTTTAGGCTAATGGAGGCGCCCAACGAGAAGACGGCTTCGATCACACCGAACGTGCCGTAAACGCCGAGCCGTAAGTCCCGAAGCCCTGTGTCGGCCAACTTCTTCGGGTCGAGCGCGTCGTTTGACCACTCGCTCAGCCAAAGACCGGACACCACTTGAGCCGCGTTGGAGGCGATGAACGAGAAGACAATACCACCGCATAATACCATTCCAATGGTTTGCATGTATTTCTTATAGACATCCATCTTAACGGATCCCGTTTCAGACGATTCCGATTCAATGAGTTTACCGATTCGTTTTGGTTTCTGCTTCTCTTCGGCTATAGTGTCGGGTCTGTCGGACATCCGGTCTCTATTACTCAGACGACTTATCGACCGATATATTGAAGACTTTTGCCGCGACTTATCGCTAATCGTCGATACAGTCAACGATTCCGTGTACGAGAGGTGTCGCTCCAGAATTGGCTTTACTTTCTCAGCGATCTGTTCCATGATCTCCATCTCGTCCTCATGAATGTCTTCGTCCGTCTGATTTACGATATATTCGGCCACGAATTCAGCGAACTCTCCTTTATTTGCCACCAATTCCTCGAAAGTGCCGAATTCAGAGATGGATCCGTCCTTTAAAACAATGATTTGGTCCACTTCTGGCAGAACTGATA